CCTGGGCTGCGGAGGGGGCCGCCCTGACCCGAGTCTCCCTCCAGGGCAAAAGCCCCGAAAGGCAGAGTGAGCTGGAGCCGCCAGCCTGGGGACCTCTTTTAAGATGACCCGTACGGACCCGCCGGACCTGCTGGTGTCGACCGTGTACCAGGACATCAAGGTGGCGGCCCCGGGACCCGCATCCAGGCGCCCGCCATGTGAGCGATCCGTGGCCAGGCCTGCCGAGCCCGCGCCTTTCAACAAGCGCCACTGCCGCAGTTTCGATTTCCTGGAGGCGCTGGACGGGCCAGCCGAGGAGACCATGCCGGAGCCACCGCCCCCGGAGCCCGCCGTGTCGCGCGCCCGGACCCGGGAAGCCGAGCCGCGCCGCCGCGCCCGCTCCAAGAGCGCGCCCCGCGCGCCCCCGGGCCTGACGCCCGCGCCCGCCTCGTCGCCGGTGTTGCCCCGCAGAGGGCGGGAAGCTCAGCGGGCGGCGCGGGCCGAGGCCTCGCCGCGCCGGGAGCCCGCGTACCCGGCGCTCCGCGCGCTCGCCAACGAGCTGCATCCCATCAAGCTGCAGCCGCAGCGGGGTGGCCCCGGCCGCATCACACCCCTGTGCGCAGCCGCGGGCCGCTGCGCACCGCCCGAACCGCCCGCGGGACCCGCCCCCCACGTGCGCTGCCGCCTGGACATCAAGCCCGATGACGCGGTGCTCCAGCACGCCGCGCGGGGCTCGCGGTCCTGCGCGCCCGCCGAGGCCGCGCCCTGGGCCCGCCCCGCCCCGCAGTTCCACGGCCTCACGGTGCCGGGGCCTCGTCACATGGCGCTGTCGCGCACCCCCACACCCAGCGACTCCTACTGCGCAGACCCCCGGGCGCTCTACTGCGACGGGCCCCTACCTGGGCCCCGGGACTACGCCGAGCGCCGCAGTCTGCCCTTCACCACCCCGCCGGGCCCCACCCAGTTCTTCTACACCGAGGAGTCCCAGGGCTTCCGGGGCAGCTACGCGGCCAGCCCCGGCCCCACCTTCGACGCCTACTGCCCCAGGCCCTACCGTCCCGAAGAGCTCCCCGGGCCCAGTTCCCGGCGCGTGAGCGGCTACTACTCTGGAGAAGTGCGCACCTTCCCCATCCAGGAGCCGCCCTCCCGCTCCTACTACGGCGAGGCTCCCCGAGCCTACGGCCTGCCCTACGGGCCCCGCTACGTCCCCGAGGAGCCCCGGGCCCACCACACCGCCCGCCCCTTTTACACGGAGGACTTCGGGCGGTACCGCGAGCGCGACGTCCTAGCTCGGACGTATCCACACCCGCGCAGCAGCCAGGCCTGGGCAGACTGGGGCCCGCGCCCGTACCGCACCCTTCAGGTGGCGCCGCCCTCCGACCCCGACCCGCTGCTCGCCTCCTGGCACGGCGGCACCGGCACCAGTCCGCCGCGGCTGGTCACCGACAGCCGCCACTACTCGCGCTCCTGGGACAACATTCTGGCCCCGGGGCCGCGCCGCGAAGACCCCCTGGGCCGCGGCCGCAGCTACGAGAACCTGCTGGGGCGCGAGGTGCGGGAACCGCGGGGCACGTCCCCCGAAGGCCGGCGCCCGCCCGTCGTGGTGAACCTGTCCACCTCCCCCAGACGCTACGCCGCCCTGTCCCTGTCCGAGACGTCGCTGACCGAGAAGGGCCGCTCGGGCGAGGGCCTGGGCCGCAACTGGTACGTGACGCCCGAGATCACCATCACCGACAACGACCTGCGCGCTGCCGAGCGCCCGAGCGCCAGGGCCTGGGAGCTGCCCGGGGGACGCGCGCGGCCGCCTCCCCACGCGGCCCCCGACGGCCCCACCTCTGGCCGCCAGCGCAGCCTGGAGCAGCTGGACGAGCTCATCACGGACCTGGTTATCGACTCGCGGCCCCCCGCCGGCCAGGCCTCAGAGCCCCCGGCCGACTGCCTGGGCCCCCAGCTGCGCCGCCTGCTGGACTCGCGGCCGGCGGGCTCCGGGGCTCCCGCGCTGGCGCCGCCACGCTCGCCCCCCGCCTCGGCCGGCAGCGCGGAGGAGCCCGCGGCCCCGGGAGAGGCGGCCGACGCGTCCCCCGAGCCCAGCGCCGACGAGGACGACCTGAGGCCGTGCTCCAACGCGCGCTGCCGGCGCACCGAGACCATGTTCAACGCCTGCCTCTACTTCAAGTCTTGCCATAGCTGCTACACCTACTACTGCTCGCGCCTGTGCCGCCGCGAGGACTGGGATGCGCACAAGGCGCGCTGCGTGTACGGCCGCGTGGGCAGCGTCTGCCGCCACGTGCTGCAGTTCTGCCGCGACAGCGGTCCTGTGCACCGCGCCTTCTCGCGCATCGCGCGCGTCGGCTTCCTGTCTCGCGGCCGCGGCGTGCTCTTCCTGGGCTTCCCGAGTCCCGGCTCCGCCGACAACTTCCTGCGCTTCGGCCTGGAGGGGCTGCTGCTGTCTCCCACCTACCTGTCGCTGCGCGAGCTGGCCACACACGCGGCGCCCTTGGGCAGCTACGCCCGCGAGCTGGCGGCCGCGGGGCGCCTCTACGAGCCGGCCGAGTGTTTCCTGCTCAGTGTGTCCGTGGCCGTGGGACCCGGCGCCGCGCCCCCGGGGACGCCCGCCCTGCCCGCGCCCGCGCCACGCAGCCACGGGCCCACGGTGCGCAAATTCGCCAAGGTGGCGCTGGCGGCAGGCAGCCCCGCGCGGCCGCCCCCGGCGCGGAGCCGCGAGCCCGACATGGAGACGCTGATCTTGACGCCGCCGCCCGGCACCGCGGGCCTGGATCAGGAGGGCGAGGCGGGCCGACGCGCGCGCGAAGTGGCCTTCATCCACATCCAGCGCGAGCTGCGGCTGCGCGGTGTCTTCCTGCGCCACGAGTTCCCGCGCGTCTATGAGCAACTCTGCGAGTTCGTCGAGGCCAACCGGCGCTTCACGCCCACCACCATCTACCCCACGGACCGGCGCACCGGCCGCCCCTTTATGTGCATGATCATGGCCGCCTCCGAGCCGCGAGCTCTGGACTGGGTGGCCAGCGCCAACCTGCTGGACGACATCATGTGAGGCGCGGGGCCCGCCAGAGCCCTGCCCTGCCCGGCCCACCCACGGCCGCCCCCAGCCCCGCCAGGGCCCCGCCTCTAACTCCCCAGCCCTCCAAGCTCCGCTCAGTGCGGCCTCCAGCTCCGCCCAGGGCCCCCCGAGGCCCTCCGCCCCCGAAGTGATCCTCCCGGGCCCCTCTCCCTCCTCCCGGACCCCTCCCTCTCCCAGCTGGCCCTCGAGGTTCACCAGAAGCAGCCGGTCCTCGCCCTCGGTGCTCCCCGCTGGGAGGCGGGGTGGGCCTGAGGACCGCCCCGCTCTGCCTTCACCGGGAGGGGTCGCTACTGCACAGGCCCCACCCGTACAGATCCGGTCCCCGTCGGTGCGCCAGGCTCTCACTGCAGCCTCCCCGACTCCGGTGTCCGCTCGTCCCGGAGCCCGACGTAACCAAAGCCCCATCTGTCACTTTAAAACGCCCGTCCCGCCTCCCGCGGCTGGGTGCCTCCTCCAGGAACACCCGGGTCGACCTCCTTGCGTCGGTGCGTGTCCCGGCGAGGTGCGTTCCCGCTGGTCGGAGCCGGTACACTGACAGCGCCAGGGGCCCTGACACCCCCTCGCCTCCAGCCGCTGCAGTCTGGGCCCTGCCAGAGCTGGGAGAAGTGGCAGGGAGGTCTTCAGGCCGATATGCAAGTCTCCCAGCCAGAGGGGCAGGGGACATGGAAAAGGAAGCCGAGCATGTGGGCCCGGCCAGAGCTGACACCTGCTGGGCTAGAGGGAGGGAGGACCCAGGGACAGGGGCCGTTCCCAGCCGGGAGCCAGCAGGGGAAAGCTCGTGGGGGCGCCCCGTGGCCGCCTCGTGCGAGCAGGTGAGGGAACCAGCTAGTCGGTCAGCGCGGAGGCCCACCCGAGGGGGCTTGACCTGTTCCAAAAGGTCCCCGCACACCCACTGGGGTCGCACCCCGTACTGCGGGCGTGGAGGCGCCAGTCCGGTGGCCCGGCCTCCAGCCACCCCCAAATGCATCCTGCCCGCCCCCAGGGCTCTCTGGAGGGTCAGGTGTCCGGGAGAGGGGAGGAGGCCAAGCGCTACGCAGGGGCCCTCTTGGAGTCCTCAGTCCTACTTCAAAGCCAGGGGAGGGGGCACCAAGTCAGAGAAATTGGGCACCCCTCTCCTGCTCTTGCACTCGACGCGCCCACCTCGTCCCCGCGCGTCTGCACCCGTCAGGCCACCGGCCAGGCATCCCGCTTGCCCACCCGCCGCCGCACCCCCCGCCCCAGGGCCTCTGCATTCGGCCCCACCCCTGCGGGCTGGCCAGGAACACGCCCCCAGACTGGAATCTTTTCCAGGGAACAAGAGCTTTCCAACCAAGTAAAATAGAACTTGAATGTAGCTACTGCTGTGGTCTCCTTGTGCGGATAGAGGGGTTGGGGAGGGAGGCCTCCGGACGGCGGAGGGGAGAGTGAGGGTGGAGTGGGAGGACTTCCGACGGCGGAGGAGAGGGAGGCCTTCTTCGGACAGTGGAGTTTGGGTTGAGCGAGACCTTCGGAGGGCGGAGGGGGGAGAGCGAGGCCTCCGGACTGCGGAGAGGGGAGAGGGAGACCTCGGGACTGCGGTGGGGGGAGAGGAAGGCCTCCGGACTGCGGTGGGGGGAGAGGGAGGCCTCCGGACTGCGGTGGGGGCAGAGGGAGGCCTCTGGACGGCAGAGGGAGGAGAGGCCTTTGGACGGTGGAGGGGGGAGAGTGAGGAAAGAGAGGGAGGCCTTTGGATGGTGGTGCGGGGAGAGTGAGGAGGCAGAGGGAGGCCTTCGGACGGTGGAGGGGGGAGGGAGGCCTCCGGACTGCGGAGTTGGGAGAGGGAGACCTTCGGATGGTGGAGGGAGAGGAGGCCTTTGGATGGTAGAGGGGGGAGAGGAAGACCTTCGGATGGTGGAGGGAGAGGAGGCTTTTGGACGGTGGAGGGGGGAGAGTGAGGAAGGAGGGGGGGCCTTTGGACCGTGGAGGGGAGAGAGTGAGGAGGCAGAGGGAGGCCTTCCGATGGTGGGAGCCACGAGGACTCGTGCGGGACAGGAGGTCAGGGCTGGCGCACGTCCCTCAGGCCTCCCTCTTTGCCCCAGCCTCGCGGGCCGCCTAACTGCCCCACGCCACGGGTGCTACCGGGCCGCAGTGGAGAGGAACTTCCCGTTGGCTGTATTTAATCAACCCATTCCCGGCTCCACGTTCCCTTTAAGCGGGGCTGCTGGTGCCTCAAGGAAGCAAGGAACTGGATTGCGATTGACCAGCGCGTGCCTCGGTCGGCGGCACAATTGGCTGAGGCTCTGGGCTTTCGGCAGCATTCTCCGACGGGATTGGTCGCCCCTCTCCCAGAGCCCGTCTCCCGCAGTACAGGCGGCCCCGGGTCGGGTGGGAGAAGGGGCCTCCGGGACGAACAACATGGCGGCGGCCGGTCTCGCTCACATTCCTGACGTGGACATCGACTCGGATGGCGTCTTCAAGTACGTGCTGATCCGAATTCACTCGGCTCCGCGCTCCGGAGCTCCGGCTGCGGAGAGCAAGGAGATCGTGCGCGGCTACAAGTGGGCCGAGTACCATGGTGAGGGCGGGGCCTGCCGGCGTGCGAGGGGCGGGGATGGGGCGGGGCTTGGGACCGTGGAGGGCTGCGTTCTGCTCCGAGCCCTGCCCCTGCGAGGTCTGACCCAGGTTCAGGTCCTGGGCGGGAGGGGCGTGACGCGGCCAGGCCCACCCCACCCACACCCGTCTCCCAGTCCCCGCGCCCGCCCCGGTTCCACCCTACTTCTCTCCTTCATCCCTGTCCCAGCCTCGAGGGGCTTCGTCTCCACTGGGGAAGGGGCTGTTCAGAGCTGGGATTTCACACCCCCTTCTGCTGGCTGGGAGTTCCTCCCATGGCTTCCAAAGGCGGCCAGGGCACGTCCTGAGGCCGCCCTCCCATCCCAGCGGACATCTACGACAAAGTGTCGGGCGACATGCAGAAGCAGGGCTGTGACTGTGAGTGTCTGGGCGGCGGGCGCATCTCCCACCAGAGCCAGGACAAGAAGATTCACGTGTACGGCTACTCCATGGTGAGCCGCAGCCCCGTCCCGCCCTGCGGGAGGCCGCAGTACCACCTTGGAGGCCCACCTGAGCCTGCTGCCCTGACCCCTGGCCCCAGCTGAGCACCCAGGTTTCCCGGGGTTCTCTGACGGTGGGCGGCAGAGCCCTCCCTCGACAGCCGGATGCGTTCTCACATTCCCCCATGGAGCACACGCCAGATCTGAGGGGCGAGGAAGGCCCCCAGACATGGCCTGCCCTCCCCTCTCTGTCCCCTCTTTCTGAGCGGAGAGGCCTGGCTAGGCTCTCACTGTCCTCCAGAACTTTGGGTCCTGGGCCCCAGAGGTGGTCAGTACCCCGGTGGAGCTCAGAGTCCCCACCTGCGCTCTCACCAAAACCACCAGCAGGTGAGATCTGCATGTGCTCCCCTGGGTGCCTGGGGCCCAAGGATCTGCCATCAAGGAAGGTCTGCTCACCTGTGGAGGCCGTCCCTCCCCAGGGGAGCCCCCAGGGGAGGTTAGGATGCTGGGTTTGGCTCCACTCCGGGGTCCCCAGCCACTGTCTATCCCCTTTGCACCCTTGCTCCTGCTGTGGTTGGTGGCTGGATGCCCAGAGCCAGGACACATGGGTGGAAGGGTCCAGGTGGTGCCGGCGGGCATGTTCTCTTTCCAGGCCTATGGTCCTGCCCAGCACTCCATTTCCACCGAGAAAATCAAAGCCAAGTACCCCGACTACGAGGTCACCTGGGCTAACGACGGCTACTGAGCACCCCCAGCCCCTGGCCTGCTGCCTCTGGCAGCCACATTGGAGCCCCTGCGTTTGCCTGCACCCCTCCTGCCACAGCCCCTGGTGACATGCCACCTGCCAGGCCTCGGAGACAGAATTAAATATATTGCCACACCTGCTGGTCTCTGGACTCTGTCCTTGGCTTCCCTGCCCTAGGTCACCACCTCCAGGGGCCCCCCAGACCCTGCCTAAAGGAGTGGCCCCAGGGAGTGGCTGTGCACACTCAGCCTTTCGGGGGGCCCCCTGATGGCCTGATTGTTCTTCACTGGGCTGCCCTCCCCCAAGGCATCTTGGAGGAGGCCCAGCCAGCCCCTGAGCAAGGAGGCAGGCCCTGGCCCCTCAGGCCAGTCAAGACCTGGGGTGCCCACCAGTGCCTCCTCCCTTGGGCCCATCCCAGGGCTCCCAGTGCCCTGTCTGCCCTGAGGCCTGGCCTGCAGGATCCTTCATGACCAGCCCCGTGGGACCTGCCAGTATCGAGGGTCAGGTACCCTGCAGGCTCATGCCGACTCTGGGGCCCCTCCCAGGTCCCTCCTGCTCCTGGCAGGGCTGTGGGCAGGCCATGGGTTCAGGTCCCGCCCTGGGGAGTCCCATACACAGTGAGACTCTGTGGGGCGCTACAGGAGCATCCCGGGGGCCAGGGCTGGCTATGCACAGGGCACCCGACTGGCAGGCAGCCCCGCTCACAGGTTGGCTCACTGGTCGTCCAGGCAGCCTCTCTAGGTGGGCATTATGACCATGTTTTACAGACCGGGACGCTGAGGCTCAGTGACACCAGCTCTGAGCTCACACCGTGTGGTATCACAAATAGGGCCCAGGTCCAAATGCCACCCTCCTTCCCCAGCCCTGAAGAGCCCTGCCCTAAGTGTGGGTCTGTTCAATGAGGACCAGAAGCTTCTGGGCTCCCAGAGGCCCGTGCCCGGCACCGGACAGCACCTGGCTGCTCAGGACGAATGGATGCTGGGGTGCTCCTCTGCAGCCTGACTTACAGGCAGCTCCCCCGAGGCTGAGAGCACAGCGGCTGGCTCTGGTGCACACACTGGGCACTGGACTCCCGCAGCTGGTGGACTGGTTGAGTCCTGGCCTTGGCCAGCACCAGGCTAGTGCCAGAGGCACAGCGAGAGGCCACAGCTGCCTGTGCCCCCAACCCCACACTGCCTTACAGAGTCCTGGTGGGGTGCCTGGGTCCCTCCCCATTCCAGTGGAAAACTCCCCTCCACTCCACCAGGCAAGGCAGGGCAGGGTGGAAGGGCCTGACCTTCAGTCTGAGGGAGCCGGGCAGGTGGGAGCTGACCCTGGGTCAGGGGCCCTCTCCTGGGGCCGCTTCCACGGCCCACACTTGGCACCGTCAGCACTGGGAGGGGCCGGGCCAAGGGGCCCTCCACTTAATAGCAGAGTCATCTCATGGGGCCAGTGCAGGCTGGAACCGCACAGAGCTCCCTGTGCACCCCACGTGGCTGTACTAGCCCTGCTCCCTCTGACCCAGCCATGCCTCTGCCTGGCCACCTGCTGCCCATCCTGGTCCTGTTACTGGGTAAGTCGTCCAATCCCACTCCTGAAACAGGACCAGGGGCTCTGGCTTTTGAGCCTGCCATCTGGGCGGTAGTGACAGGCATTGGTGTGATGCCTGAGCCCCAGAGGGAAGGAGGACTGCAAGACACTGCCTTGGCCGACTTGCAGGGCTGACCTGGCATCAGCCCATGGCCCTTGTGCCTGCCAAGCAAAGGAAGAGGCAAGACTCCCCTCCCAGTCCGGGACGAGAGGGCTCAGGAGGTGCCCCCCAGCTCTGCCACGCTTGGACTGGGTGGAGCCTGTGGAGGCCCTGGGACACCCACCAATGCCTCCCACTGGGGGTCAACTTCCCAGTGCCCAGTTCCCAGCTGGGCACACTGGGCTCCTGCTGCCTTTCTGGGGGTGCCCAATGGCAGGGTCCTCATCCCCACGTATGCCCAGGCCCTTCACCCGTCTTGTCAGGGCTGGAAACAAGAATGTGCTCCACTTGGTCCTGGCGTAGAGCCAGGTGGGAGTTCTCTGTGGGTCCTGGCCCCCCTGCCCCATCTTCTGGTCTGAGGGGCTTCCCTGGACGAAGGATGTCCAGTGCTAAAACTGGATAGTCCTAGGCAGAGTGGGATGCTGGTCACCCTGCCCCCAGGCCAACTGGCTGTCACCCTCCCAGCAGCAGGGTCCCCAGGCTGGGCCTGGGTCCCCAACCATTGCAGGATCCCCAGCCAGGCCATGTGCAACTTCGTGTGTGACTGCGGGGACTGCTTGGATGAGGCCCAGTGTGGTGAGCCAGGGCTGGACAGGCGGGCAGGGCCAGTGTGAGCAAAGCCAGCACACGCCTGACCACCCGCTCTCCCAGGTTACCACGGGGCCTCGCCTGCCCTGGGCACCCCCTTCACCTGTGACTTTGAGCTGGACCCCTGCGGCTGGCGGGACATCAGCACCTCAGGCTACAGCTGGCTCCGAGACAGGGCAGGAGCTGCGCTGGAGGGTCCTGGGCCTCGCTCAGACCACACACTGGGCACCGACCTGGGTGAGGCCAAGGCGAGTCTCTGGATGCCCCTGCCCCACCACCCTCCTTGCTTCCTGCCCTATCTCCTGACCTCTCACCTGGGCCAGGATGGTACATGGCTGTCGGAACCCACCGAGGGAAAGAGACAGCCACTGCAGCACTGCGCTCACCCACCCTGCGAGAGGCAGCCCCCTCCTGCAAGCTAAGGCTCTGGTACCACACAGCCTCTGGAGGTGCGCCCTGAACCCCCAAGGCTTATGGGGGGTGCCCAAGGGAAGGGCGGGTGGCTCCAGGAGAGGCAGGGCAGCTGAGGAGGAGCAGGGCTACAGCTGCCTGCGACCCCTGACACTGCAGATGTGGCTGAGCTGCGGCTGGAGCTGACCCATGGTGCAGAGACCCTGACTCTGTGGCAGAGCACAGGGCCCTGGGGCCCCGGCTGGCAGGAGTTGGCAGTGACCGCAGGCCGAATCCAGGGTGACTTCCGAGTGAGCGGGGGAAGGGGGTGTCTGGACAAGTGAAGGCCTCTGGGGGGTCTGGGCCTTGACTTAGGTCCTGAGGGCCCCTGTTCTCTTCAGGTGACCTTCTCTGCCACCCGAAACGCCACCCACAGGGGCACCGTGGCTCTAGATGACCTGGAGTTCTGGGACTGTGGGCTGCCCAGTAAGGCACCGCCTCTCCCTGTCCCACCCTGGGAGGGGCCCACCTGCCACCGCCCCAATCAGACCTCGTCTGCCCCCGAGTGCCCTCCTACTCCGGGGCCTCCATGAAGGGTTAACCCTGCCCCACCCAGCCCCCCAGGCCAGCTGCCCCCTGGGACACCACCACTGCCAGAACAAGGCCTGCGTGGAGCTCCAGCAACTCTGCGATGGGGAAGACAACTGTGGGGACCTGTCTGATGAGGACCCACGCACCTGTGGTGAGCCCAGGGTGGGGCCCAGAGTGAGGCCTCTGATGAGGACCCACGCACCTGTGGTGAGCCCAGGGTGGGGCCCAGAGTAAGGCCAGGTGATCGGATGCCTCGGTGGGGGCCCTGGCACTCATCCGGGAGCAGGCACCTTGGATCTTTGGATGGTCCTTCTGGGGGCCACCCTGGAGCTGGGAAGCACTGCCTGGTAGCCCCGACAGCCCCACCTCCCGCCCTAGGCCAGCACACGGCCACTGACTTTGAGACAGACCTGGGCCTATGGAGCCGCTCAGAAGGCTGGGCCCGGAACCACAGCGCTGGCAGTCCCGATCACCCCGCCTGGCCATGCCGTGACCACAGCCGGAACAGTGCGCAGGGTGAGGTCCACAGGGGACCTGGCCCAGGCCCCGTCCCCCAGCCACAGCCCAGGGGTCCCGGCTCATGCCCACCTTTTCCCGCAGGCTCCTTCCTGGTCTCCGTGGCCGAGCCTGGCAATCTTGCTGCGCTCTCCAGCCCCGAGCTCCAAGCCTCAGGTGCCTCCAGCTGCTCGGTGAGACAGGTGGTGGGGGGATGGGGGCTCACAGGGTCTCTGTGCTGGCTGTTGCAGGGGCCCCCAACCAGCTCTCAGCTCCACAGCTGGTCTTCTATTACTACCTGCACGGGTCCGAGGCCGGCTGCCTCCAGCTGTTCCTGCAGACTCTGGGGTCCAGCACCCCCCAGGCCCCGGTCCTGCTGCGGAGGCGCCGAGGGGAGCTGGGGACCACCTGGGTCCGAGACCGAGTTGACATCCAGAGTGCCCATCCCTTCCAGGTGAGGAACAGCAAAAGGGTGGGGTCTGGAGAGCTGGACTGAGGGCAGGGGAGGGGAGCCCACAGGGTGGCTGCTGTGGGGACAGGGAGCAGCCCCCGGGGGGAGTAGGCTGAGCACCCCGAGCCCTTCTGTCCTCAGATCCTCCTGGCTGGGCAGACAGGCCCAGGGGGTGTGGTGGGTCTGGATGACCTCATCCTGTCTGAGCACTGCAGACCAGTCCTGGGTGAGCCTGCTGACCCCTGCTGACCGTGCCCTGCCTTGCGCAGCACTCCCCACCACCACCGCCTGATTCAAGCTCTGCCCCCACAGAGGTGTCCACCCCGCAGCCGCTGCCTCCTGGGCCCCGGGTCCCAGTCCTCGGGTCCCTGCCGCCCAGCTCTCGGCTCCAGGATTTCTGCCAGCAGGGCCATCTCGCCTGTGGGGACCTGTGTGTGCCCCCGGAACAGCTGTGTGACTTCGAGCAGCAGTGTGCAGGGGGCGAGGATGAGCAGGCCTGTGGTAAAGGGGCTCAGCATCCTGCAGACCTCCTGCTGCAGGCCAAAGGGGCAGGCACGGGTGTGGGGCAGGTGGAGGTCTCTGCCGTTCAATGCCGCCTGCTGTTCCAGGAACCACGGACTTTGAGTCCCCCGAAGCCGGGGGCTGGGAAGACGCCAGCGTGGGGCGGCTGCAGTGGCAGCGGCTCTCAGCCCAGGAGAGCCAGGGAGCCGGTGCAGCTGCTACCGGTGAGGCCCATGTACCCAAGCCCCTGCCTGGGGGCCATGCTCACCTGTGAGCAGCATCCTCAGAGGGATCTCTGCTCTGGCCCTGCACTACCAAGGGTCTCTGGATTGGGGGTCCCTGAGAGAGAGAGTGGGGCCCTGGCAGGAATGGGGCTCTGAGCACCTCTCT